CCCCGCTTTCGCTTCCAGGCAAAACCAAGTCATACCACGCGCCTCCTCGTCAAGCGGCCTGACCAGTACAGGCCGTAGTTTGGCATCGCTCGGTTTCTCTTGGAAGCGAGGGTGGTCAAAAGCGAGGTAGGTTTGTTTCCCCCGTGAAAAATACGGGGAATCCTGTGATTTGTGCGTCTTTATTCGTGAGCCCCAGGGCCCCATTCAGAGCCTGCACGGAGCACTGCGCCCTGGGAGCTCCTCGGGGAGCTCCCGGACCGGCGCCGGGACCCGCACAGCGGCGCCTCTGGCGCCGCCCCTGGGTCGACTCGGCTGGAGTCGGGCCTGTCCCTCTACAGGGGGGATATTCAAAAGTAGTAAAAGAATAGTCTGGGGACGATTCTACTTTTTCCTGCTATTCTGCTTTTTCCTGCTATTTGGGAATGTCTCCCTCTACAGGGGGAATATTCAAAAGGAGTAAACTTGGCATCGCTCGGTCGTGTGCTTTTTTCTTTCGGCGAGGGCCATCGAGGAACATCCTCGATCATTTGGCGAAAAGACCACGCACGACCCCCCCCCCAAAAAAAAAAACACACAGGAAATGGACGTCCGAGCGATGGCCAGTAAAAGAATTGTCTGGGGACGGTATTAGTTCTTTTTTGCTACTTTGGGATCTGTTTTGAACATCTTTTAGTTTTCGTCGAAAATCCCCCTGTAGGGGGACAGGCCCGACTTAAGACTAGGCGTAAGAGTGGCCCTTCGCTGGAGTGACCTTTGGTGCGGGCACAGGTGGGCCCCCAGATGGCTGAAAGAGGCGCGGTAATAGCGGCTTGCGCGCTTGCTTTTGGCCCCCCCGCGGTCCCAAAAAGCCGCGCAGCAAAGGTCACCCTTACCCAGTGCCTGGCATCGCTCGGACGTGTGCATTTTTCCTCCCGCGAGGACCATCGAGGAACATCCTTGACAGGCAATGGACGTCCGAGCGATGGCCAGAGTGCCACTCTTGCGTGACTGGCGCGCTCCGCGCGCCAGGTAGGGGAGGAGGAGGAGGAGGAGGAGGAGGAGGAGGAGGAGGAGGAGGAGGAGAAGAGGAGGAGGAGGAGGAGGAGGAAGAGGAGGAGGAGGAGGAAGAGGAGGAGAAGAGGAGGAGGAGGAGGAGGAGGAGGTGGGGGGTCCTGCGCCGGTCTCCGAGCTCCGCGCGGACCTCGGCGCCGCCAGCGCATGGCCTTGCGGGGGCCCCCGCTCTCCGCAGGCGGGCTCGCGGCCGCGGCGGCCACGGCGCCCGCGCTGCCGGAGCTGGCCGGCAGCGACGCGGCGAGCTGCCGGTCGAGCGACGCCGCCTCGGTCTCCGACCTCTCTCGGGGAAGCGCAAGACCCGAGCGGGCCGGAACTCGGGTTTGCCGACGTTTCTGCTGACGGGCGCGTCCTGGGCTTTGGCGGTCCCGTGTTCGGGGGAGGTCTGCAGCGGGAGCTCGCGTCAACTTTCAGATGGGGCCTCGTCATTTTTGTGATGGCCCCGTCGGGCCAGCCCGAGTCCCCCGTACCCGAGTCTTACGTCTCCCCGACTCTCCACGGAGTCCCGGGGCCATTCCAAGGAGAGCGCCAGCGCGATCGCCGGCGAGGCGGAGCGGCCTGGCGCCTCGCCCCGGCCCGCCAGTCCCAGCTCGGCGGCGGGCGAGGGGGGGAAGGCGAGAGAGAGGAGGCCTCAGGAGGCCCGAAAGTCCCCCAGCCTCCTGAGAAGTTTCCGACGTCCTTTCGGCCACGCGCAGGTGGGGTTGGGGTGAGGGGGGGAGGGCCTTTCAGAAGCGCCCTTGCTTCTTGCAAGGCCCGGGCCTTCTTTATAGACGTGAGGCCGGCGCCTTCCAAGAAGCAGCCTCGTTATAGGAAGCCCTCCTCCCTCCCTCCACCCCCTTGTGCGCGCCTCCAACTTTTCCCGGAAGGCACCAAAAGCCTTTCAGAAGGCGCGAGGGCTTCTGAGAAGTCCCGTTGCCTCCTGAGAAGGCCTTTTCCTTCCCAGAGACCCGACGCCGTGATTCTTTCGATGCGGGATCCCCGGATGTTCCGACCCCTTCCCCGGGACCAGTTTCTCATCCCGAGTCGTTCTTTGACGGCACCGCGGCCCGGCGAGGGCCCCCAGAGGCCGAAAAATCAGAAAAACTTCCGTCCTGATTTTTCTCAGTGCGTTGGATCTCTGCCCTGACCTTCCCCTCACTGGATGGACAGGGCAGAGATAGCTCTCTGGAAGGTCAGGGTGGGCCCTCTCACTTCCCCCCCGGCGCTCGCCGACCAGCAGCGTGCCGCCAGCGGCCTGCCGGCTGGCCGGGCCCACGCGCCCGCCAGGGGCGGCGCCCGCCAAGGCCCGCCCCGTCCTAGCCCAGAGGTCGGCATAGAAGTTTAAAACGACGCGAAGATCGGGACAAAATCGGATCGGGATAACTCGAAATCTCTGAGAGTCGGCTGGTTTGGAGGATGTATTGGGCGCCGCGGCCGCTCCAGAGCGTTCCGGAACGCTCTGAGAGCGCTCCGGAACGCTTTGGAGCGATTTATCCTGATCCTAGCCATGTTTTCAAGTCGGGAGGGGAAAAAACACACAGGCGCAGTTGATCGTCGACTCCCCGGAGAATACGGGCAGTGCGGGGAGGGGGGGGGGAAGACGAACACCGAGAAAGCGTGGGAAGTGGGGGGGAAGACGAACACCCCCCGAAGGTATAGAGGAAGGTATGGGGGATCTTGGGAGTTTGCGTGTGTCTTCACTCGTGTGTCCCTGGGCCCCCTCTGAGAAGCACAGCGCAAGCATGAACTTGCGGAGCTCTGCGCAGGTCTTTCGGGTCGGCGCTGGGGCCCCCCTGGCAGCGCCTCCGGCGCCGCCCCCATCGCCTCGCGCGCTAGGGAGGGGGTCCAGCGCAGACCCAGGAAAAATCCGCTCGGAACTCCGCAGGTCCGTGCTCTTGTGAGGTGGGGCAGGTCCTCCTACAGACAGATGTCGGAGAACAAACATGAAGCATAGCGAGAGGCCCAAGAGGTCCCCAAGAGGCCCTCAGGAGGCACGACTATGTCACGCGCCTGTGCTTGATAGCGCTGTTCAAGATCCACACCCCTAGAATGCAAGCTCTGGCCGACCGAATTCAGGCACGATAGCAGGCCCGAATGGCAGGAGCCGCCGCCGACAGCGGCTAAACAAGATATTAACACGGTTAGGCCCTAGCGAGCAGATGTTCGAAAAGGATCAAACATGATGGGAGCACCGTCCCCGGATTGTGTTTGGAGCAGCCTTGAACATCCCCCCGAGAGATGATCCGGGCCGGGCGAAAAGGGGGGATTGGGAAAGGGGGGGTTACGAAAGGGGGTTGGGGAAGGTGGGTTGGGAAAGGAGGGGGTTGGGAAAGGGGGGGATTGGGAAAAGGGGGGGGGTGCGAAAGTTGCTGCATGCACCTGGTTGCGGCCGCACCGAGGGGCCCGTTCCTCGATGCATAGCCGCCTCCGGCGCCGGGAGGCGCCGGGAGAATCAGCTGCGTGAGCTGACTCTCAACCCCCCCCCATTTGCTATCCCCCCCTTTCGCCCGGCCCGAACTATGCCTGCGCGCCTGTGGTTCCCCTGTAAAGCAGGGCTAGGATCGGGATAAATCGCTCCAGAGTTCCGCAGCGCTCTCCGAGCGTTCCGGCACGCTCTGGAGCGGCCGCCCGGCACGCTCTGGAGCGGCCGCGGCGCCCAATGCATCCTCCAAACCCGCCGATTCTCAGAGATTTCGAGTTATCCCGATCCGATTCTGTCCCGATCTTCGCGTCGTTTTTTCCCCTGCGGAGGTCGCTGTCCGCGCGGGGCGGCAGGCGCGCGCCCCCTGCCCTCTAGCGGCGGCCCTGTAGCGGCGCCCCCGGGCAGGTCCGCAGGTCCGCAGACGCGGCGGCCCAGGCGGCCGAGCGCGGGCCCCCGCCGCACTCTGCAGGCCTGCAGGGAGGGGAGAAAACACACACACACACACACACACAGAGACACCATGATCGGGGGAGCGTAAGACCCGGGTTTGCCAGGACTCGGGTTCGCCATCGTTTTTTGACGACCGCGCCTCGGATTTTGACGAGGAGGAGTTTCGTGGGATGTCTGCAGCGGGAGGCCTCGTCAAAATGCAGGCTCGGCCTCGTCATTTTTTTGACGACCTCGTCGGGGATTTCCGAGTCCCCTGTACCCAGGTCTTACGCCCCCCTGAACAGACACCATGAAGCGTCCACTCCCAGGAAAATACACCCTGGGCGATGCTTAGGAAAGCTGACGTTTTCGGCCAGAGGCTCGATGATTCTTCATGTTTCAATGTGAGTCCTAAAGTTTTGATGCAAGTTCTGGGCTTTTGTTCAAAATCTGAGACTATGAATTTCTTAACCCATGATTTCTTAAGCATTTCGCAGGGTGTATGGGAAGTGGGGGGGAATACAAACACCCAGAAAATATGGGAAGATATGGGGACTATTTTTGTTTGTGTGTATTTGTTTGTGTGCTTGTGGGCCCCTTGAGGCTTGCAGTTGAGTCGGGCCTCTCCCTCTCCAGTCGGGAGTGGATAGACCTCCTACCCTGACACGTCGATTAGCGAGTCGGCCATTCTCGGTTCGCGGGAGCCGTCGCGGCCGTCACTGTTGCGGGTCCAGATCCGTCGTTTTCGGTCTCAGGCCGTTTTCACTAAAGGGAGGTTTACTGAAGGGAGGTTTGTCCACCGCCGATCCAGGAGGAGCGTTCAAGAATGGTAGCACGAATAGTCTGGGGACGATTCTCTGAGTATTTTTGGACTGGTTGAATTTCTTGTCTGGGTATTTCTCGTGGTTCGTCCAGAATCCGCTTGTGGGGGGACGTGCCCGACCCAGGCGTACAGGCAGCCCGCCCCACGAGGGATGTGCCTCTGGCTGAGGTCCGACGGTCGGCGACCTGGATTTCGCGCCCGAAGGCCCGCTCGGAGTGCAGGTTGGGCCTCGTGCCTTGCCTCAGGCGGCTTCTATTCTTGCCTCCCGTGCCGCCTGGCGTCACGGCTCGGTGGCGAATGCTCTGCGCTCCTGCCTGTGCAATCGGTTTCTCGACGGCCGCAATGCGGCACTCCGTCTCGCACTGCGGCGCACCTTTGTGGTGCAGCCTGCGTCGCTCTGACGCTACAATCGGCGTCAGCCCGCATGGTCAGGATGAGCGGCTTTCCAAAGTTTCCCTTGCGTCCCTGCCCCGTCGGCCCATCCGTAGCGGCGTTCGCTGGCCAGCCTCGTTCGGAAAACGTTGACGTGGCCCTCCAAGGCCCTTGCACCCCGACCGCGCATCCTTGCTATACGGGCTGACCGTAGGGTTAGGTCGGGCATGTCCTCCTACAGGCCGGTTTTGGAAAACATGGCACACAGCCAAAAATAGTCAAAAATAGTCAGAATCGAAAAAGCGTTCCCAGGCTATGTTTTGATTATGTTTGAAGATTCTTCCTTTAGAGGGATATGCACGACTTGAGTAGGGCCAGTTGGAGCCGATTTTGAACCTGAAGGCCTCCTCGATTTGATTTTTCTTGCCCGGGACAGAACACCTGGGCGACACAACCCGAAAGAAGGTGCCCGAGGTGCCTGCATGAATGCACATGCTGTCGGACCTCGCAACATGAATGGCGGCAAAGACACGCCCCAGGCGTCTCCTCTGCGCCACCGTTGCGAGAGGCGTCTCGAGACGCCACCCCGAGACACGGCCACCGGCACCACCGCCGCTTCGCCGCCGGCCTCGAGCAGCGGCGAAGCCTTTTTGTTGCCCGAGAACTTCGGTTCCCGTGCCCCCCCCCCCGTCGGGGAGAACCTGGAGGCCATTGCCTTCTGCCGCCGGCCCCTCGCGCGGGCCTCGAGCGCTGACAGCGCTGGAAGCAGGAGTCGGGCCGGACGAAAGGGGGGGATTGGGAAAGGGGCCTCACCGAGGGGCCCGTTCCTCGATGCATAGCCGCCTCCGGCGCCGGGAGGCGCCGGGAAAATCAGCTGCGTGAGCTGATTCTCAACCCCCCCCCTTTGCTATCTCCCCCTTTCGCCCGGCCCGAAGGAGGGAGAGAAGATGGGCATAGCCACAGCGGTGGGAGCCAGGAGCTGTTGCAAGGAGCGCCATGGGGCGCCCCCGCCTCGCGGAGGGTGGGCCCCCCGAGGCGGCCGGCGGTGCTTGAAGGGTCGAGGCCGACGCCTCCCCGAGGTGTCGGTTGATGCTGACCTGCCACGCCCGGATCGCAGGGCGGATTCGCTCCCACGGGGCTGGCCGCGCTGGCAGCGATATTGGGGGGACAAAAAGATACGGATACGTGTTGTCCCCTTCGTTTTCGGCCTTTCCTGGTCCTCCTGGGGAATCCTCGTTGTCACCGCTGGATTCGCCTCGAAATTCTGGTCAGAACGCACCCCAAGAGAGGTCCGGGGACAACACGTATCCGTATCTTTCCGCCCCCAAGATATGCGAGCCACGCTCGCGCCGCTTGCGCGGCACTGCTTCGGGAGCAGATGTTTTGCATGTCACCTGTACAAAAACATGCATGCATGCACACATGCATGCCTACACAGAAACAGACATGCATACATGCATGCGTGCATACATATGTGCATTCACATCTATGTATCGATGTACACTGTAACGCCCCGCGCTGGGGTGGAAACCAATTGGATGCAGTGTACTCTGGAGCGTCGTGTTGTCCCCTCATCCTGTCGTGTCCTTTCGCCAGAGGTCCACCCCTGAAGCTCTCGGAAGACTCCTGCATGCTCTCAGAAGGTCAAGGAGGTGCCAGGAGCACCCGAAGACTTAAGTCTGTAAGGCTTGTCTTGGAATCCTGTCCCCGGAACTCCGACGTGGTTTCTGTTCGTCGTGTCGGTGTTTTCGTGGTCGTTATTTCTCCATTACTACTCGTATCCTTCGTTATTATCCGCTCGATTCATGTCCAGCCTCCTTCCTCGTCTCGCTGTGCTCTTTCTACTAATATGTCGTTCCTCGTCACCCTCCGCGGCCTTGAGATGTTCCTCCACTTCTGCTTCCTGCTCCCTTCGTCCGTCTCATTGGCCTCCTCCTCCTCTGCCTTGTAGCCCTTCCCCCCCTTCTCCCTCCCCCCTTTTTATGATGCCACAATCTGAAGACGAATCTCCTCTCTTTCAGAGATTCAGTCTCTTTACAATTCGAACGACACTTTACAACCGAGACAGGTCCCTTTACAACCAGCAAGGAATCGAATTCCTCTTTTTTCCTTTGAGAACGACCACTTTACAACCAGAACAGCCCACGCTACGACCAGAACGACCACATTTCAGCCCAGACGGGGCTCTCTGCAATCAGAATGGCAACTTTACAACCAGCCTTCAGAAGCGCGCGCGCGCTCTGCAGTGGCTTCTGAAGCTTCTGAGCGCCTGAACGCTCTGCAGAGGCATCTGAGCGCCTGGGCGCGTTGCAGAGGCTTCTGGGCGCCTGAGCGCTTTGCAGAGGCTTCTGAGCGATTGGGCGTTTTGCAGAGGCGCCTGGGCGCCCGGGCGCCTTGCAGAGGCTCCCGAGCGCCTGAGCGATGATCTGAAGCCTTTGCGAAGCGAATACAAATATTGTTCGCGATGCCACGAAGTACACATTGAAATCTGGATGCATCGGCTAGAGCTCAACCGACGATTTCTTCTGCGCTTTCCGCCTTCCTAGGTGCGCATGCTTCCGAAGTTGCGCAGACATGCGGTTTTGCGATTGCCAGACGATGGGGCGCGAGGATAAACATGGCCGATGAGGCAACAATACAAGATTTGAGAATCGCACGCATTGGCTGGAGTTGTACAGACGGTTTCTTTGCCACATTTCTGCCCTCCTGGGTACGCACGCTTCCAAGAATGCGAAAACATGCGGTTCTGCAATTGCCAGACGACGAAGCACGAGGACGAAAGTTGCCTGCTAGCCCGAAAACAACAATCCGGCATCCACACGCAGTGGCTCAAATGTTACAGTCAAAAACCCTACTAAGGACGCGCGGTAAGGACGCAAGACCCTTGGAAGCCGAAGTTGGGATTTTTGGGGCGGCGGACGACGAAAAGCCCAAGGACGCAAGAGCAAGGAAGAGCAAGGACGCAAGGGTACCCTGAGTAAAGTCGCGCGTCCTTATTAGGGTGTTTGACTGTACCATCGATTTCTTGGCCACATTTCCGCTTTCCTGGGCGCGCATGCTCACAACTCAGCCAAAATACAGTTCTCGTGGCTGTCAGGCGATGAGGCGCGAGGACAGACATGGTCAATGACACAAAAAAACAATGTGTAGTCCACATGTGTTGGCTTGAGTGTTACCACATCGATTTCGTTTCCACAGGTCCGCCCTCCTGGGTACGCGTGCGACCGCGAATGCGAACACATACGGTTTCCGTGATTGCCGAACGATGAGGCGCGAGGACGAAAGTTGTTTGCGAGCCCGAAAACACACGCACGTTGAGATCAAAATATTTCGGCTAGAAGTTCACCATCGACGTCTTGCCAACAGGTCCGCCCTCCTGGGTACGCATGCCTCCGCAACTGTGAAAACATAATGTTGCTGTGCTACTGTCAGACGATGCGGCGCGCTGAATAACATGGTTCCCGATTCAAAAACAACTATTTGAAATCCACATGTCTTGGGTAGAAATGTGCCAATGAATTTCTTGCCACAGTTCCGCTTTATTGGGCGCGCATGCTTCCGCACATGCGAACACATACGGTTGCGTCGTAGTCACACCGTGAGGCGCGAGGGCCAAACATGTCTGTGATGCAAAAATATATACAATCCGAATGTATTGGCCGGAATTTTACCAACGACAACTTGGCCGCATTTCCGTTCTCTGGGGGGCGCGCGTGTTCCTCCGTGTCTTTTTTGTTACGAACGCTTACTCTCTTTATTTCCAGAAGAGGCTGGATTTTCAGGCGGAGGTTATGAAGTTCCAAAATAATGGTGTAGGTTTAGGGCGTGGATGAAACGAACAATTCAAACCGCCCAGGCCTGTCACCAGCTTGTAGCGGGAGGCTATTTGTTTGATCTCAATTGGGTTTCAATGGCTCTTTTTGGGCACCACAGGATAACAATCGGACACCAATCGGGGCACAATACGGGTCAACGAGGACAGGTTTCTGTTAAATTACAGGTGTTTCCTTGTCGGATCCCAGCAGTGTGTTTGGATGGGTCGGAAAGGAAGGATTCCGATTGGATGTCATCGCGATCTCTTTCGTATTCGTCAATCTGGTTCTGATTTGAGGGAGTTTCTGTGGAACTACCGTCATCCTCACCCCCGGCGCGGTGCCCAGAGGAGCCCAGAGCGGCCTCCGGCACCGTTTCCGGACAGATCCGGTGGATCCGGTGGATCCGCCGACGAATCCCAAACCGGCGCCCTCGCTTGAGACATCCTCACAAAACCGGCCCCGGGGGAGGTGCCCAGAGGAGCCCAGAGCGGCCTCCGGCACCGTTTCCGGACAGATCCGTGGATCCGCTGGATCCGCTGGATCCGGTGACGAATCCCAAACCGGCGCCCTCGCTTGAGACATCCTGGGGGAGGTGCCCAGAGGAGCCCAGAGCGGCCTCCGGCACCGTTTCCGGACAGATCCGGTGGATCCGGTGGATCCGCCGACGAATCCCAAACCGGCGCCCTCGCTTGAGACATCCTCACAAAACCGGCCCCGGGGGAGGTGCCCAGAGGAGCCCAGAGCGGCCTCCGGCACCGTTTCCGGACAGATCCGTGGATCCGGTGACGAATCCCAAACCGGCGCCCTCGCTTGAGACATCCTCACAAAACCGGCCCCGGGGGAGGTGCCCAGAGGAGCCCAGAGCGGCCTCCGGCACCGTTTCCGGACAGATCCGCTGGATCCGGTGACGAATCCCAAACCGGCGCCCTCGCTTGAGACATCCTCACAACACCGGCCCCGGGGGAGGTGCCCAGAGGAGCCCAGAGCGGCCTCCGGCACCGTTTCCGGACAGATCCGCTGGATCCGGTGACGAATCCCAAACCGGCGCCCTCGCTTGAGACACAGAGGTCCTATAGATCAAGATTGTGACCGGCCCTTGTTGTTACATCAAAATCATCTATCATCCACATATTGATATGTAACATGTTTGTATGATGTATCTTGATCCGTTTTTTTATGCTAATGCAACATTACATATCATGGTGATCAACATATGCTCGAATTGGGTTTAACACACAGAAGCAGCATGAACCATCATGCCTGCGTGCCGCGTATCGCGGCACGGTGGATTCGGCCACGTCGCACCTTTGATTGGAGCACCTCGATGCACAGGAGGAAAACTACGGAGGAGGAGGCAGGGAAGAGCAGGGGAAGGAGGATGAATCAGAGCTCCCATCCAGAACTCTCTGTGTTCTCGAGGAGGCAGGGAAGAGCAGGGGAAGGAGGATGAATCAGACCAGCTCCCATCCAGAACTCTCTGTGTTCTCGACGGTGCGTCCTCCTCCTCTCCTCCTCCTCCTCCTCCTCCCCTCCTCCTCCCTTTCCTCCTCCTCCTCCTCCTCCTCCTCTTCCTCCTTCTCATCTCCTCCTCCTCCTCCTCCTCCCCCTCCTCCTCCTCCTCCTCCTCCCCCCACCCCCTCGTGGGCGTTCCTGGTGCCGTTCTCGATGTGATTGCGTGTCCTCTGCATTTTTGGCTTAGATGTCGGCTGAGAAGTGGACAGTCACTTGGGGCAACGCTCCGCGCAGCCCTCTGCGCAACACGCCGATCGGCCGCAGGCTGGCCATGAACGCGGCGGCAGCGGTTGCCTCTCGAGGCGAGGAGGCAGCGCGCGAGGAGGCAGCCTCGCGCGAGGAGGCAGCAGGCGAGGCGGCGGCCTCGCGCGAGCAGGCGGAGGCAGCAGGCGAGGAGGCAGCAGGCGAGGCGGCAGCAGGCGAGGAGGCAGCAGGCGAGGAGGCAGCAGGCGAGGCGGCAGCAGGCGAGGAGGCAGCAGGCGAGGAGGCAGCAGGCGAGGAGGCAGCACGTGAGGCGGCGGCCTCGCGCGAGCAGGCGGAGGCAGCACGCGCGGAGAAGGCAGCGGCATGCATGCGCGAGCAGGCGAAGGAGGCCCGCAGGAAGGCAGAGGAGGCCTGGGCGGCCTCGCGCGGCGCGGCAGAGGTCGCGGCGTCGGAGGCCGAGACGGTGGTCGGCGTGACGTTGGTGGAGAGCGACGACTCCGACGTGGCACCCCTGTCGCGGACGTGGCCGCCTGCAGCTGCGGCAGAGGAGCTCAGCCCCACGTCCAAAGCCGTCGCCGACAGCGTGCTGCAGAAGAAGGCGGAGGACCGCGCCAGGACCGACGACGCGGCGGAGCTCGAGCGCGGCCTGGCCATGAGCTTGGCGGACGCGAAGGCCAAAGGGTTGGATGTGCACACGATCTTGCAGTCGACGGCGTCGACTACCGCAAGTGGAACGCCGTGTTCATCGTGGCAGAGCGCGGCGACCAGCCCGAGGGGCTCGCAGACGGGCGTCAGGGATCGCTCGGGTACCAACGTTGAGGGAAGACGAGGAGGAGGAGGAGGAGGAGGAGGAGGGTGAGGATGAGGAGGATCGAGGAGGGAGGATGAGGATGATGATGCTGCTGCTGATGA